CCCAATGGGCACACTTTCATACGGAATCCATGTGGCTAGGCCATTGTATTGGCCGTACGGAAGTACTATCTGTCGGGATTTTTCCCCGGACCCTTCTGATTACTTCCGTCTTTTTTCATGCACTAAATCTGTCGCACACTGCACCCTCGTTGTCAGCGTGCACTGTAATTCTCCGTAGGACAGATAATATTTAACATTCGTGTTTGACTTCCTCAGAATTTCCCGTTTTTACTATTTTACTACCTTAGCTCTTGCAGTGCTTAGTGCCAGTCGACCTTAAGCTCCTACAATTTGCCCACGATTTAAGCCCAGGTCTTTTGTCCGTTGTCGCTATAGTCATTGTATTGCCGATACATCGCCACAGATCTCAGTGGCTAACGTCTAACACTTTTTTTCTCAATGGGTGCGGTCCTTGTCAGCGTCCTATACAATAACACGGTAATGAATAAATGAAAGTTTCATTCTCGACAATGCGAGACGCGCTTGCAAAGGCCTGCTCATGGCGAAACCAACATTAGGGTCTGGTAAATGTAACTAACGGTACAAGTTTATTAGTAGCATATGAATCCCTGGGTATGCATATATGCAGGTAAGAATGTGTGTGCCTGTGTTGCTGGAATTTGTAAATGGGACGCCATATCTATGATTGATTTCGATCAGGTCGTCAGCTTGAGAAGGGGTGAAGTGAAATCTTCGTACTGTATAGCTGACGTGCCTGAATTGGGTAAAATCATCCAGATACGTAAGAGGCAGTGACTTTAGTGAACAGCCACATTCGCCACGTCCCAGTATTGTTAAGCAGACATGTTTGGCATTTTATATGGAAACCAATCACGTCCTGGAATACTGCCGCCGAACTATTCGCTGAAACGGGTTTAATCCGAAACACCCAGCTAGCACTACGTGGATGTGAACCTCGGGATGATCCACATCACTATTTGTAGACCGTATCCGACATACTGCAGTCGCGCACTCAGTAGCGCCCTTGCATTCGATTTATTATTGCATCTAGAGAGGCATCAGCAATACGCCGGTACGCAGTACTGACGCTTCGCTGCCGCGCAATCGCCACCGGTCGCACGTGGATTAAGGATACTGTGAGGGTCGCCCTGTCCCTAATCAGGCTCAAACCTTAGCCGTCAGTTTACAAGAAGTTTGTTACCTTTAGGCTACCGACCGGTCTTGTACCCACGCGGGGACAACTCCAGTGCCGGCTCATAGCCTAAAGGCAGCGAGCTTGTAATCTAATAGCGCGGGTTCGAGCCTGCGTAGGGGCAGTTCGACTTTCGCAGTATCCTTAGCTCACATACGACCGGTGGTGGTTGCGCAGTCGCGAGACGTCGGTACACAGTACACACGTACTGCTGATGCCTTTCTTTTCTTTCTTTATGGCATCTATCTGTTAGTATTCGTTCCATCCCGATTAGTTTTTCGCAATTCTTTCTAAACCATTTTTTGTATTCTGTATCTCGTTCAACCTCTTTTTTGACTATCCTTACTTATTCTTGATTTGCCGACGCGAATCGTGCATACTGAATCCACTGCACTTCGGTGCCCTCATCAGTTGTTTCATTGATCTGAAGAGAAATAGGTGCTTAGGGTCTGAATGAAGAGAATTTTACGCGCCCCCGCCACTCAGTTTTGCCTTCGAGTGAACGAATCCCAATTAGAATGTACTGCCTGCCGTGCAACGCATGGCCGCTGGTTCAAATTTTCTCCTTGGCTCTTCACATCCCGCAGATGATTCAAACATGTGTGTGTGAATCGATCCAGACTTTCAACCTCGTCACTATCACTACCACCATCGGACGCAGTGGTTCCTTTTCTACAGCGCTCCTTTCTACACACCATCTTGCAGTGATTGTTTCGTGGACATGCTAATCAGGGGGATAGCAAATACGTATGGAAGCGCACTTGTGTGTTCTTGCTTGTACGCATAACTTCCCAATTGCTGATACAGCACATGTTGCTGAATTACTTTAGAAGTTAAGCGTGTACGTCACTGGGGCCAACTTCGGATTATATGGGCGTAGTTGTCCACTTCAAAAGCCACTAATCACCTGCCTAAGCGCGCTCAAAACCAGTACCGTGACGCAGTTTTTTCTCCTTTTTTTACAACTGTCGTTAAACTTTGTCCACGCCGACAGATACGCATCTACCTTCTCTCTTTCCCGCGTTCAACACCTTTACCATCCGCGTAATCTTCGGATAACATTGTCTGCTCTACTACCATAAAAATTCGTTCTATCCTGATGAGTGGGCTAGGTGCACGTTGTGGAGACTTTTATTCAAAAGTCCCGCTTGTTATAAAATGGCATTTAAATCTGTCCACTTAATTGTATATCCTAGGACACAACTCTGGACATTGTCCTTACGCAACATCATCAATACACGTTAGCCGAGAGTGGAAAACACACCTCAGCTAACGTGTCGCAATATAACAAAGTAAGATATTGAGCAATGTAGGCTTGACAACTATAAAAAGTAGCGATGTTAATGTCATATTTTAATGGTCGTGGGAGGGAGAAGCTAAAGGGAATGGGAGGAACAAGGAGACTCCCAACACACATGCCACTGAGTTCGACTCCTTGCCATGTCAGCTAGTGTATCCAACCAAAGGTGTTCATCATCCTTCGGTCCCCAGCCAGGCAGTCGGGAAACACCAATCGACACCAACTTCGAGGTGAGGTACTTCATTCCTCCCGACCAAGTCATCGCTTGACCTCTCCTCCTCTTCGTCCATCCACACTCCCGACGCGCAAGCAACGCACGTCGCTAGAGTCGGTTGGCTGTACGGAGTTTCGGTACGACTTCACATCACTCACTTCACTTGTTGGGACCAATGAGGCGTCGGTAGCTCATTCAAATGGTAATCAAATTCTCCTCGCATTCATTACTATTTCACTGCTACTCTTAGACGATTCATTTTCTCAGTGATTTTGTCGCCGATTTCTCCTCTTTTTTTCTGTACGCAGAAGTCGCATCCACTAGCATATCGGGCGTGTTGTTTTGCGCAAAGAAAGGTGCATCTTTCTACTTTCTTTTATTTATCTGGTCGATTTCTTAGCTATTCGGCAGAAACTTCGATAAGAAAATATAGTTGCTGTTTGGTGCTGTTTGCTCGCTCGCTTGCAGCACTGCACTGCATTGCACTCCACGGTACTTTTGGCAGCCGTCTGCACTTTTCAGACAGCCAAGCTAAAATTCGAACCCTGCTTCTAGCTAACACTTCGACCGCTACGACACCAGCTCTACTTGTATCCCGATTGCACTAACACGGTAAACAAGTCAGACAGTGAGAGCATAGAATAAATGCAGCAGCGAACTTCACGACACAGGCGAAACCACCGCTCCATTGGTGAAACCTTCCTCAAGCGTGAAAGGTCGAATACGAACGTACACACAGGTTAGAACTTTGACGCTGGCTTTATTGACATCCTGAGGGAATGAAATGATAGTCGCGGTTACAGACGAGACAGGGTGAAATGGTTCAATTCAATGCGGAATAATTTCGATTTGGTTCGATTGCAAGATATGGTAACTGTCAGTTTTCTGGTAACATGGGAGTGGCGGGTTCGGCTGATGCTCCGTACCTCCCTTACCGGCCCGAAGCCTAAAGGTAATAAGCTTGTCTTGTAATCCGAGGGCGCGGGTTCGATCTTACCTTGGAACAGGGCGACTCTCGCAGTATTCTCAGCCCACGTGTGACCGGTGGTGGTTGTGTGGCAGCGAAGCGTCAGTACTGTGTACGGACGTACTAGTGATGTCTTTCTCTCTTTTCTGTACCTTCCTGGTTCGATTCGCATTTCTGGTATTTCAATCCAACGAGTGCAAACAAATACAAAACCCGTTATGGTGGAGTGCATGGTTGCAAGTAGACAGCACCTAATCGATTGAACTGCGTTCTCATTGGGCTGATCTCGTAGGGACTAGTTTCGGAGTAAATAATGGTCCAGGTTGAGCTTGTGTATCATAAGCAAGCCGCAGGCCGAGTGTTTTAAACTTCCGTCTAGTAATCCACAAATCGCTAGTCTGAGTCTGCGCTGGGATGGGCGACGTCGCCGCACCCCCAGTCCGCACACGAACACTAGCGATCACATAAAGGCGAAGTGTCGGTACGGCTTACCAGCGTGCTGACTTTATCGCCCTATCAAAATTTTTATTGATTCTCTGCTGAAAGTTTTACGTCAACCCTCCGTGTCCTATGACCCAAATAGTGTGTTTGATTGGCTGTTTTCTCTCGGATTACATCTTACTATCTGTGCGATGCGTATTCTATGTAAACCTGAGTCGATGCCATCATTTTACCAAAAATTGTTTGCTCAGCTACTTGGATATAATAGCATTAACTACGTTTTCACCGTCATGGTCTTCAGCGTGGTACCCCACCTTGTCTTTCATGATATGGTTGCATGTTATGTTTTTGGCGAAATGTTTTTAGTATTCTTCTTCCATCACTGGGATACTTGCCTACCGGTGTGTTTGTAAAGATACTGATCGTATAATCATGATACGTTTGAATTGTGCTTCATGTTCGACTGCATCGTCTGCGTGGTCACCGGTGCCAAACATGTTCGAGATCAGAGTTTATCAGGGTCACCACCCCCCACAACTGCTTCTTATTTGGGCTAGATGAACTAGCTGCTATGTTCACAGATGTCCCACTACTTGTTGTCTCTTGATCTTCGTCTTTAGCCCAGATCGCCCAGTAAGCTTCGTCTTACTTTCTGTCCTGCTGGCTCGCACGTGTGTTTGTCAGCTACACATGAAACCATCTGCAGCTTCTCTCTTGTACGGCCTGTCATCTTGGCGCAATTAGCAGGTCCATACTTCTCATAACCCTTTGTGCATGTAGAATACAATTTGATTGCTAGAAGTGTTGTCTACCCATACGTTTGCGTTGTTCTTCCTTGGCGATTCTTTTTGTGTCAAACGGTCACCTTTTTATTACGCGCTAGTGACCATTTACTGGTGTTCATGTTTGTCCTTTCATTTTGCAGGCATTTCGAACTGAATCTCAACAATCTTCCTAACTCGTTTGTGAAGTTACGCCTCTACCTTCGGTAAGTTTGTTGCGTGGTCGCGGTATACTCAGCCCGCGCGCGACTGGTGGTGGTCGCGCGGCAGCGAAGCGCCGTTACGGCGTATAAGCTGACACATTTCATTTTTCATTTATGATACGTTTGTTATCATTTGCGTGCCAAACCATTTAGTCGTTCGCACACTTTAATAGTCTTTCGGCTTGGTACACGTATTCTACTACATTCTGTTGTCATCTCGCAGTATGCGCATAAATATATGTTGTTTGCTGGATTTTCCGGGTTCATAAAGTCACAATTGTTCGGGGTTACACGATTTGTTCTCATGGTTTTACCGAAGATACGTGTTAGCCGCATCTTTTGCTTTATCTTGATTGGATCAGCTCTGACCCGGGAACCTCGAAGTGCGGGAGACCCATTTATATCCACACTCATCAACGTTGCGGGTGATGTGGAAGCAGGTTTGCGCGAAGCGACTAGACTAAGAAACAAATGTCAATCAACGAACAATCTTAAGTAAGAATGGTTAGAGACCGGCCTGTAGCCTTAAGGGTCACATGCCTGCCTTGTAATCCGAGGACGCGGGTTCGATCCTGTGTAGGGACCCGGCGACCGCAGTATCCTTAGCCCGCGTGCGGTTGGTGGTGGTGTAGGAGCGTCTTTCAGGTGATGCATTCAGAACTAATGCCCCGTCGTTTTTGGATGGCGTAAAGAAGTGGAAGCATGTGTTCCAGTTGCTATATTTTGTTGTTCCCACAAATTATTAACGGTGGACAAGAGGGAGACCTGCGAAGGAAAGCCTCGAAGTGTTGATATGGTTTGGTGTACAGTTTTTCTAAGTTGGTATATTGATGGTGTGCTTTTGAATGATGGTCAATACGGCTGGTAAAACTGTCAGGCGACTAAGGGTAATGTCTTACCAGTCCTTGTGTAGGAAAAATATGGTAAAAGTGATGTTACTACAGTGCTTGAGCAGTATCGAAGCCTCGATACTGCGTACCAGCGTATTACTGATGCCTATTGAATGCTTGGGGAGGCGGATTATGGAGCTAACTGCAATTAAGCCGCTGGTTACATGATCACGCTGTACTAGAGACGGATCCATGCCCATCGATGCATGCCATGTGTTTATCCGGCTATCTTTATTTACTGTCTCATACTCTTTCATCACGTCACCAACTGATCGCATCGGAGGTTTTATTCAACTGAACGCAATATTGGCACGTGATACGCGTTACATTAGATGTCAGAGGGCACATGAGCAGATAATGACCCAACAAATATGCGCTGTTGAAGTCCAAGAAGCGGTTCATACCTTCGCTGGACAGTTTGTTTTCAACTCACAACTAGCTGATTTCACCACAACTCATTCATCGTCCCGTTCGACTCCAAGCGGTAGTTCTCTGGCACTCGTGCTCAAAGCAGCCAGTGTGCTGTTGTCTTGAGCAACCAGTCACCATATCGGCGCTCCATACCGGAGGGATTCGCTGCACTACAACACTGTCACACGGTCAATAGTTTGTTCATGTCTCCAAAGCTAAATGCATCTTTTCTATGCACTCAACATCCTCTTCGGTTTCGGTGTTGCTCGTTTCCACCTTTACACTCCACGATTGGTTTCGTCCTTATCTGGACGCATCTGGCAGCTATAGCCCATTTTCGGAGTGGGACCTGGGACCTAATCTAGTTGGATATTGTCGCCTTGAGCACTAGGCCACTGAGATTTGTGGACAACTTGAATCTTCGGTTGTCTGACCATTTGGGAGAATAGGCGTGCTTAACAGAATCGGTGGAATCATTGATCACTACGGATGCAGAACTCCGAGTGCCCACCTAACTGTCACTGATACGCGGTGAATGGAAACGCGCAGCACAGCGGAAAGACAGAACCGTACCACGTACGAAGCGTGACTAAGAGTACGGCTGTAATATGTTCTGTCTCCTGTACCCTATAGACTCGCGTTTTCACGTCTACTAACCTGTCTGCTCTGCGTCGAGTTCTCAACAACTTGGCTACCTAGATGCGAGAACCAGTTGACCAAATTGCCTTGCTTACCAGTGAGGAGGAGGTCTGGTGACGAGCCAGTCCTGTCCTTTGGCAGTACCCCAACGTGCGTCGACCCATGTTGGCCCATGAAACCATTCTGGTGATAACTGGAGTCGGTTCCAGAAGGGCTATATCGTCCTTATGCTCTTTTTGTCAAGCGGTGGTCACTTGGCGAAACTTCCATTTCTCAGACATCGGCTGGGTCATCATGTTCGTTGTGGTCTGAATGCCCCAACCTCCTAATTACAATCTTGACGCCATGCTAATGATAAGCAGCAATAGTGAAACATTGATTGCGGGGATGTGCAAAATTAAACTTCAAAACGCCTTGTGGTGCATATGACATATGGCTATCAAGCAAACGCTAGAAAATTGAGTGCATTCCTGCCTTCAGTCATGTAATATCTCTGTGTCTAGCAGGGCTTCTCATCGCTTACTTATCCAATCTGGAGGTCCTTATCTAAGAAGGCAAAACACATATCCGATTGCATTTCTTCCGTTAATTTCTCGTATATCTTGGCTACATCATCGGAGAATCGCCCAGGATTTCTCGCAGTCAAGCGTAGTATCTGCTAACCATCCACACTGAGGACGACTACCGGTAGACATGTGGCAAACGTTGCACTCCGGTGTAAGCGATTCCATTGGCGAATACAGTCCTAGTGCCGGCCTAGAGGATCTGTGACCAGACGTCAGGTTCGGATTTTAGAAGTTAGTCGGTTACTGCTCCTTCTAGGTATTGGTGCCGTTTCGCAACCATCCTTTGTCAAAGAAAATCAGCCCTGACGTTTTCCCTACGTGTTGATCATGCCTGTCAATTATACGGTGATCACCGCACTGTACCTATTTGTTCCGTCCTTAACCGACGGTCTGATGTCTCATCATCTATTCAGGTGATTGATCGGTGCAGTCGATGTGTACGCTAACCTCAGAACTGATCCATCTGGCCAACCACTTCTAGTGCTTCGCTGAAATTCGAAGGTGTGTCGACCCAGTACTGTTGCAGCGCGCGGCCCTTTGATCTGATTTCCACTTTGGTTGAGTCCGATCTCACGGGATTGTCTCCCGCTCATTCACTAAGTGGTGAGAAACGAGATTCATTCATAGTCTTACCGTTCACCGCGTTGTGGGAATAATGAGATGTGACAGACATCACATCCAACCCACCTACCGTGCTCTACGCCTTTATCGTCTCGGGATTCCACGTATAACATTACAAACAGAAAGACATTTCCCTGACGCTTCATACTGTTCACTTTGCTTCATTCAGATGCCACCGTCCTTCGGCAGCAATAAGACAGAACGACCAGTTCATGCGCTCTGTTTCAGCTACAATCACTTACGCTTACTTGCAACATTCACAGCCTGCCGATGACCAAAAGAATTGGGCGTCCATCTTTCAATCCGAACGTAGATGTAGGCGACCTTCACAATATCCATAGCCCACCGGCGGTTAGCGGTAGTCGCGCACCAGCGGAACGTCCGTATGATGCACAGGCATGCTACAGGTGATTCTGATTTTAATGCTTACCGTGAACATGCTGATATCCCTATTAAAGATATGGTTGGCGGCATCCGGTTCCGGATTTGCCTGTCACTGTGGCAAGCCACAGGACGCCTGCGCCTACAGAGGGACCATGGATGGCTTGCGCTGCACCACCCACAGCTCCAATCACATACCCCATATCCAGTGTAAACCCGAAGGAATAAGACCGGGAGGCATGCGGATGGGAACCACGTTTCATCAACGGAGCCGGCCCACACTCCTTCACAGGCAAACACAAGCACGCTGTATTTGAGGAATCAACCGCACACAAGGCGGTGGCTGGACCGTAGTCCGCTCCACACTGAGTGCATGGAACCACTCTTCGAGCCTAACACGGCCACAAGGACCGTGCACCCCGTCCCCTCCAGCAACGACCAACTGTCTCCTGGAGCCAGTATGGACGACGTAGTGGGTAATAGACAGGTAGGCACCTTGTCAACATGCACATCAAGCGCAGCCACACCGGGGATATCAAACAACAGCCAATCACTTGAGAGAGAGAAAGAAAAAGAGAAAAACTCGATTAATGCATAAGGAAACGGTGGCATAAACCTTAATTAAATAGCATACGTAATAAGTTGTTTACAAACAAATCCTAGCTAAGTGCACGAAGTCAGGAAGTATAGTTCACGGTATGCCACGAACACCAAAATGTTATGGAAATCGAATACAATTGGCTTAAGCGATGTGTGCAAGTTAATGGAATAGAGTACAGGGAGATATTTATATGAGAAAGAAAAGCAGTAAGGTAAAAAACTGTAAACCCACCACCTGAAATAAAGAGACTTAGCATGCAAGCACGCGGTTAGTAAATCGAATTCAGCGTGCCTACAAACGCTGCGCCGGTTCGCCGTAATTCTCTGCAGGACCCGTCGTCGCTTCTCTAGTGGCCCCAAAGGACCTAGCTCATGGCCCACTAGACATGTATATGAGAAAGAAAGGAATTAAGAGAGAACCGAAAACCCACCACCTGAAATAAAGAGACTTAGCATGCAAGCATGCGGTTAGTAAATCGAATTCAGCGTGCCTACAAACGCTGCGCCGGTGCTGCCTACGTTCACTGCGGGACCCGTCGTCGCTTCGGCAGTGGTCCCGAGTGACCTCTCTCATGGCTCACTAGGCCTGCCTGACTAAGGCACTCGCGACCGCATGTTCTACAGCACAATGCGCTCGATGTCGATGGAGTACAATTCATCGGTGCTTGCCGCTTCCGCAACTGCCGCTTCTTCTCTGCATGCATGATGGATTTCTCCCGCACCTCAGCAACTGCCTTCGTGATTAGATCGCGCCACGCACGCCGATCAACCGCCTTCGATTCCCATGATCTGCAATCAAGATGAGAACGTGTGAGGCTCACTTTAATCATGTCCTGGTAACGTAACTTTGGTTTCCCCACGTGCCGCTTCCCAATACTCAGCTAACCGTATAAGAGTTGTTTCGGTATCCATACATACATGGTTGCCGGCATCCGGTTCCGGATTTGCCTGTCACTGTGGCAAGCCACAGGACGCCTGCGCCTACAGAGGGACCATGGATGGCTTGCGCTGCACCACCCACAGCTCCAACCACATACCCCATATCCAGTGTAAACCCGAAGGAATAAGACCGGGAGGCATGCGGATAGGAACCACGTTTCATCAACGGAGCGGCCCACACTCCTTCACAGGCAAACACAAGCACGCTGTATTTGGGGAATCAACCGCACACAAGGCGGTGGCTGGACCGTAGTCCGCTCCACACTAAGTGCATGGAACCGCTCTTTGAGCCTAGCACGGCCACAAGAACCGTGCACCCCGTCCCCTCCAGCAACGACCAACTGTCTCCTGGAGCCAGTATGAACGATGTAGTGGGTAATAGACAGGTAGGCACCTTGTCAACATACACATCAAGCGCAACCATACCAGGAATATCAAACAACAGCCATTCACTTTAAACGACAAGCTGAAATTAAATAAATCCAATAATGCATACAGATACGGTGGCATAACTCTTCGCTAAATTACCATATGAAGTAAGTTGGTTAGCAACAAATCCGTGATAAGTAAGAAATGTCCACAAGTTACTTAAAATGCTACAAACGCAACAAAATTACCGAAGATAAGCGCAATTAGTGCAAGCAACGTGGCCAGTTAATAGAACATTATTCAGGGAGGCAGAACAAACCAAATAAAGCGGAATGAAATTTAGCCAGCTTAAAAAGACCTAGTTTAAGTGTAAGTTGGTTTAGCCCAACTGCGGTGAAGAAGCATCAAGAATGCAACATCAGCCTCAGCATGGGGCACCATACATACATACATGGTTGGCGGCATCCGGTTCCGGATTTGCCTGTCACTGTGGCAAGCCACAGGACGCCTGCGCCTACAGAGGGACCATGGATGGCTTGCGCTGCACCACCCACAGCTCCAACCACATACCCCATATCCAGTGTAAACCCGAAGGAATAAGACCGGGAGGCATGCGGATGGGAACCACGTTTCATCAACGGAGCCGGCCCACACTCCTTCACAGGCAAACACAAGCACGCTGTATTTGGGGAATCAACCGCACACAAGGCGGTGGCTGGACCGTAGTCCGCTCCACACTAGTGCATGGAACCGCTCTTTGAGCCTAGCACGGCCACAAGAACCGTGCACCCCCGTCCCCTCCAGCAACGACCAACTGTCTCCTGGAGCCAGTATGAACGATGTAGTGGGTAATAGACAGGTAGGCACCTTGTCAACATACACATCAAGCGCAACCACACCGAGGATATCAAACAACAGCCATTCACTTTAAACGACAAGCTGAAATTAAATAAATCCAATAATGCATACAGATACGGTGGCATAACTCTTCGCTAAATTACCATATGAAGTAAGTTGGTTAGCAACAAATCCGTGATAAGTAAGAAATGTCCACAAGTTACTTAAAATGCTACAAACGCAACAAAATTACCGAAGATAAGCGCAATTAGTGCAAGCAACGTGGCCAGTTAATAGAACATTATTCAGGGAGGCAGAACAAACCAAATAAAGCGGAATGAAATTTAGCCAGCTTAAAAAGACCTAGTTTAAGTGTAAGTTGGTTTAGCCCAACTGCGGTGAAGAAGCATCAAGAATGCAACATCAGCCTCAGCATGGGGCACCATACATACATACATGGTTGGCGGCATCCGGTTCCGGATTTGCCTGTCACTGTGGCAAGCCACAGGACGCCTGCGCCTACAGAGGGACCATGGATGGCTTGCGCTGCACCACCCACAGCTCCAATCACATACCCCATATCCAGTGTAAACCCGAAGGAATAAGACCGGGAGGCATGCGGATGGGAACCACGTTTCATCAACGGAGCCGGCCCACACTCCTTCACAGGCAAACACAAGCACGCTGTATTTGGGGAATCAACCGCACACAAGGCGGTGGCTGGACCGTAGTCCGCTCCACACTAAGTGCATGGAACCGCTCTTTGAGCCTAGCACGGCCACAAGAACCGTGCACCCCGTCCCCTCCAGCAACGACCAACTGTCTCCTGGAGCCAGTATGAACGATGTAGTGGGTAATAGACAGGTAGGCACCTTGTCAACATACACATCAAGCGCAACCATACCAGGAATATCAAACAACAGCCATTCACTTTAAACGACAAGCTGAAATTAAATAAATCCAATAATGCATACAGATACGGTGGCATAACTCTTCGCTAAATTACCATATGAAGTAAGTTGGTTAGCAACAAATCCGTGATAAGTAAGAAATGTCCACAAGTTACTTAAAATGCTACAAACGCAACAAAATTACCGAAGATAAGCGCAATTAGTGCAAGCAACGTGGCCAGTTAATAGAACATTATTCAGGGAGGCAGAACAAACCAAATAAAGCGGAATGAAATTTAGCCAGCTTAAAAAGACCTAGTTTAAGTGTAAGTTGGTTTAGCCCAACTGCGGTGAAGAAGCATCAAGAATGCAACATCAGCCTCAGCATGGGGCACTATTAAAGATATATATATATATACATACATATATATATATATATAGGTTCGTCGCAACCAGCTTCCAAGTCAGACAGTCGTCCACGCGCCCGGAAAAGCACTACACTGCAGTAGTGCGCATCTATCAGATCTATGAGGCTTCGAACCCATGGTGGTGGTACTAGTTGTTGTTGTTTTCGTTGTTGCTGTATTGAGACACTTTATACCAGTCACCTTGGCAAGATTCGTCTTTCTGTCTCTTTTATGTATTTGTGCAAACTCATCGGGAGTTCCCCTGTATGTTGGCAGCAAGCATTTCCATTTCCCTCGGAACCATATTCTATTTGGATGCCATTCCTGCCAGCTCTGGCCGCAATTTCCTCAAAATGGTCAATCCAGATTAACGGTCAATTTTCACAACCTGTACTTGCTCTGGTCTCACTAGTTTATTCGCTTGACGTTTATTTGTTCGGTTCCCATTTTGCTTCTATCCTTGGCTTCTCTTAATATAACACTTCTTGAACCATGCATGCAGCTACATACACTGGATTGAGCAAACTAATCCAAGTATGCACCGTTCCACCGACTTTGAGACCCTACTGTTTCGGTGTGTTCGCGACTGTGGACAGCTCCCCAACGTTAAGAACGATGAAGACTTTGTCGCTGTATGGATACGCCTGGTAAGTTGATCTGTATTTACTGTTATTTTTACTCGGACAAATGGATCCTCAGGCGGTAGAGTCCGCCTAGATCCTTTAAACAACTGGTGGGATGCAGCGGGTAGCCGGCCAGGGTATACGCACGCCCATTACTACCCCTCCCCAGGCTCATAAATAAGGACTTGGCCGTGTTGACCGATAGGTCAACTACTACAGACCACCAGGATAGGTGGTCGAGGTCCTGCTGAAGGAAGTCACAATCTCCGAGAGAATCAATAATCCTCCAAATCTTCAGCTCATCCACAAATAGTGCGCAGGGCGACCGAAGAAGCTAAGATACTTTGTTAATATGGATAAGGAATAGAATGCGCCCCAGTACTGCGCCTTAGGGTACCATTCCGTTAGGTGGTCATCCACCTGGACCCGTCATCTTCCAATAAGGAAGCCAATGATCCACTTGTGCAGTGCGTCACCAACACCACACATACTCATCTTATGGAGGGGGACCTCATGGTTAACTTTCTCAAAAGCTATACTGTTATCAATGTAGTTAACATCCGTTGAATTTCTCCGGTTTAATTTCTGCCCCATTAGCTACGTTGTTTTGTGCTTCTGTGCTAACGTTAGATTTGTTCGCATCAAACGGAAAGTTTTTTCTACCTGGACTCGATATTAATTTTGCCGCCGTCTGAAAATCCATCCGACGTGTTCTTCCAGGATTGACCCAAGATACATAAACAGTGGGAACAGAAAGTTGTCACACAAATAAAGAAATCAACCACCGATAGAACCCGTGTATTGCGCAACTGCGTCCCCATAACTGTAACTATAAATGATGTTGTGTCCGGATTACCAAAACAGCCTCCCTCACCCCCTAGATATATGTACAATTCTCATCCATATTATGACTATGGCAATTTTAAAACTGCAAGAAGGAAAAACATTTTAGCTAGCAGGATATCCTGAATTCAGTGTATTTTCCGTATTCTCATTTAGCCTCTTACATATTAATAGTGCAAACTTTAACCAAACGAAAGTGATAGGGAATCAATACCAGGAGTCAATAGTCGACTGTGTTAGTGCCTCTACAGGAAAAATCACATCTTGCCATAGCAAATCAAGACTGACCACAACTTCCAGTTGCTTGCATAGGCGCCGGATGGCGGCAGCCTCAGCGAACTTTGAATGCTTCTCGAAGGGTTTGGAAAATTGTACAGTCGAACGGGTGCCAAGCGATCGAGCTAGCAGATGATTTCGCACCAGTCAAAGCTAGATTTCGCAGGATGTGCTTCAAAATCCAGTTTGACAGCCAGTCTGGCCGATATACAGATGTGATCTATCTTGTAGAGGCACTACCACAGTCGATTATCGATTCTTGGCATTGATCCCCTTTCAATTCCGTTTGTTAAAAGCTTTCGCGATTAGTATGTATGAGGCTGAACGAGAATACGCGAGATGCACTAAATTCAGGATGTCGCACCTCTAAAGTGTTTTTTCTTGCACTTGCAAATTTCTTAAGGGGAATGGTTGCATGCAACTTTTAAAGAGACTATGACAACGTCTCCCCATCCTGCTTCAACCGAAAGCGATATGACTGGAGATCAATCACCTCATATTTGCGGCACAGTGGCTGAGGTGTTTCTCATCTCTAGCTACTGTGTATAATGATGATGATGATATCCTGCTAAAACTCACGCCCGTTTTCCCCATTATATCGGAGCTGCTTAACTACGATTTCTTCACCCAGTTTCATTCCAGCTCCCTCGCTAGAGTTCGGTATCCAGTTAGATTTTTGTGTTTCTGCACCACTCTGTCCAAACTTTTCTTTATAATAGTAGCTAAAGTTATCTGACCCCCGCTGAACGTCTAGGAACTTTCCGTTATGTTCGGCAACTTTCCCAATTCCGTCTTTTCGACACATTCGTCAGATTGTATGCAGTTCTGTTAATGCCTCAGATAGTTAGTGCTAACTTGGGCGGTGTAATCTATCCCGTCTGCCTTGCACTCCTTTGCCCACGAAACGGAAGTACACTGGCCCCGCGAGAGGTAGCTTGACTACGCTACCGACGAGCACATGCTTCCGCTTGCTTCCTTTCGATAGCAATACTTTTCGGAACCTTTTCATTGCTGACAACTGGAGTTTCTTTCTCGTTGGTATCTCCATCGCTGCAGTGGCTAATCTAAAATCGAAGATAAACCATGGCTGAGTCTCCATGCTCTTACACATTGGTTGTCGCCATATGTTTGAGATTTCCGTTTCCATTTTCGCCATGCCTCATACCCTATTGACCAGATGAATACTGTAGCATTACCTGGTTTACACCTTTAGGTCAATTATTTCATTTCCTTCCACTTTTCACCTGCTATCTTTCCATTGGACCTCCGCAGACGGAGTATTGCGATCAACCAGGCGAGTTGTTTGAGCTACTATTCCGCCAAGGTGTGGGCACGATGTGTACAAAATTTTACGAGGCTTGGGCGAATTGGCTCTGTTCGCACTCGCAATTCGCTCGTGCCGCCTCCGTGTACGCCCATGGGTTACGCGCCGGAGCACAGTCGCTGATTCACTTGGAGGATCATGCAGAGTGAGGTCATTCTCTATTTGGTTTTTACCGTTGTCCCTTGCTGGAATGATTGAATACTCTCATAGTTATGTTCACGGCCTCAAAAATGGTGTATTTGCCTACTTTTGGCATAGAATGAGGCTTTCATCTGAAACGACAGTTTTCTTCCACAGCTGCGATTTAGTCCATCCATTACTTGCACTCTACCAAGGGGTGCTATTGGATGTAGGACGCATCTTGCTATATCCAGTCATCAATCAGGTTTTGGCGATACCGTTTTACTGAACTTACTTGAGGTGAATAGTGTTCATTCGCAGGCAGCCAGGCTCATGCAGCGTGCGTGTGCGTGCGTGCGTACTTCCCCGTGCGCCGCTTTATGTTTCATGGCTATTGCTAGGTGAAGGACCTGCACGCTTGCGTCACCCAGCTCATCTTATGCGCTCACATGGTCCACTCCCTTTTCTGAGGTTATCTTCTGGCTGCACAATATATCTGTCTTTGCTATACAGCCGTTTTCTGATTGGGTTTTTGTCTATCAGCCTATCTTCAAAGCGTACGATACCTCTGTGGAATTGGGCCGACCCTATCACCAAATATCTAGTTGTAGTTGTTACTCCGGTTCACTTACCCTGGTATTTTTCTCATCTTTCATAGTCACATCACTGGAGAGGCTGCTTCGCGTACCAAAAAGGACCGTATGTCTCTTTAGTGGCCCAACCATATGTGGAGTAAACGCGAAACAATAGGCTGCGAAACCAAGCTATCAGTTAAGGTTGTTAGTGTACGGATCAAAGACCTGCACATTTCCAACTAAAGACATTAAGGGATTGGTTTTCTTTGATCATCGATATTTGCGGAGTGTTGCTCACATTTGCTGGAAACACCAGGTGAACAGTGCTGGTGCCCGACGGTTGTAGTTTAGCTAGTGACCCTCTGATATCTCACTGGGGTGTCTGTTGTCTGGGTTGACCATGTCATCCCTGTGTCTCTTGACCGCCATCCTCGTCACAACCTATGCGTTGTGTCGCTACACCTGGTTGTGCAAAACCGCGAGGTGGCCTGTCGATGAGGTGGTATTAAGGCATGAGAAATTGGCCGACAGACTTGGACAGGCTGATTCCTACCGTCTTCGTGAATGGGGGCCCCGGGATGGCGACTCTATCGGACATGGCACAGTCATTGGAGCTTTAATATTATTCCGACTCGATTTCATTCACTTTTTCTTAGCTCTCTTTTGTATTCTGATTGGATTCTATCCGCTTTTAATCATGCATCGAACCCGGGACCATTCGAATGTTTTCCCCAAGTTTCTATCCCTTTCGCTATTGTATCGTGGTGTGCAATGCTTGTCACAACGGGTGCTGACTGAGTATAGAGAGTTATTTTGAAGTACTCGTGTGAATGGATTGCGACACACAATCTCAATGTGAACCTTGGTCAATGTATTTATCCATGGTTTTCCATGGGGGACGTTTGGCACTCAGGTTTCTCTAGTCCATTCATTTAGGCCACTCCAACACTTTTCAGCACGTACGATTATGCGCAACGCCTTCTTGCTACGTCAAACGTCCTAGCTTGTTTGCTTTGGACAGCTTTAGTGACCGTTTGCAAATTGCTAGTCTTGCTAATGAGATCATATAAGATATCACTCTCCCATCACCGTGCTGCACGGTTTCCCCCGTTTTCGGGATCACCATGTTGGGACTTAACCACAGATGGAGAGTGTACCAGTTGACATTATCACTAACCAGCTGGAATCCGCAAACAACGCTGGTCGTAGCTGTTAGGAATTTCAACTGAGCACGAAACCGGTCATGGGGCAGCCAATAGTACGAAACATGTTTTCACTTCGGGTACGATCACAGTGATGCGAGAAACCGTTCTTTTCGAAATGGATCGTGGTCTGTAGTGATGTAATATGTCGAAGCCGAAGAGCACAGGGGTTTCCATAAACCCAAAAGGACGTGGTTATTATTGTCCCTCTTGAGGCCTATTTGTGCTGGCGTCGTACAGTTACCATCGGGTCACCTATTCCATTCCTAGCTAAAGTTACCTCTACAGTTCGTGTGACGCAGTGTTTGGGTCAGGACATTCGTATGCGGCTTCAATGTGAGGAGTGTCCAAGATTGACTACGAATCTTATGCTCCAAATTGAGATCACATGTCATCATCCGAATATTTGGCGGATGCTCCAACGCTAAACAACAAATTCTTAGCCAGTGTGCAAGATATTGTCCGCTGCATCCTGGACATTACTCTGTTCTGGCTGTCTCTACCTCTTGGGTTAATGCAGGTTAGACATGCTGTAGAGAACTGTATCGGAATTGGATCATACTGAAGATATTCCCACTTCGGCTGTCGTTCTGTTGATGAGAATTGCGGTTCTTACTAACGCTGACTGCCTTTATCCAAGCGCAACGGGCACTCCAACACACCACAGTGAACACCTTCTTTAGGATTACATTTCCTTTGCAACGGCAACGTGCATGGCGCTGTAGTTAGACCCCACATATCACATATCCTGGTCTACTTCAGCCTGCGGAGTGTTCATCTACTTCTACCGCGTGCAATGCCGAAGACATCAGAAGAAGCAGGGTTGTCTTCCCTAATGCCGACGACCACCTAACTGAGCTTATTCTTTAATGAATTCCGTTTCAAAACCATTTGAATTCCCCCAATCTTTTTCTCATCGGTGCCCGCTTAATGCCTTAATGAAATCTAGTACTACACTACTACCGTTTGTGTCGCTTATAAATATAGCCTCATCGAAACGCAGTTCAACATGAAGTAGGTTTTGCAATTTTGCTGTGGTACCTAAATGCATGATTTCTTCTTCACCTTATAAAAGTTTTTCAATGATATTCTTCTACCAATCTCATGCTACAGTTTACGTCACCTAGCCTCTTCCGGGGTGGTCCGCTTTCACCTGACTTGTTCCCCGATTAGGTGACGGTTTTGGCAGATGACAGTTAAGTTGAAGGGTTTATCGTAGAACACCCACAATCCTGTCACTTGTTTCGCATCGCTAGATCACCCTTTTGCTAAACTTCTTCCTCTTATCATCCTCCTTGTGTATTTTATAATTGCCTTAAACTTTGCCAACTTCTTAACAGCCTGTTCATGGATTCTCTCCCCCACCATTTTTGTCCTTATCAAACTCTAATGTTCGCTAATGTTAAAGTCACTGCAGTATTGCTTCTATCTACGCAGCATCCATTGCATTGCACGCCTCTGTTAACACAACGCCATGTATATTCTTTCTTAACCTGACTTGTGTGTGTGAAGCTGCTTCATATCAGTTAGTCGACACTCTTCTTGTCAATCACATCGTTCAACTCTCATCCTTGCCAATTGTAGAGGTCAGACCTTTGGCCTCCTGGTACTCGCTGCCATTCAACAGATAGATGGCCTGGTCTGATAAATATTCTCGTGATTAGTCAACCGCGATAAGCCACAGCACCTGACTCCGACTTTTTCGCATCTAGTCGGGTCAAATATCGCTCTTCCTTGTTAAATGTGCCTAATTTTAGGCGCGTTCACTTTCGATATGTGACATCGCAAGCGCGCAGCATTGCACCTAGTTATAACACCAGTATGTATACCTTTCGGGCGCGCAAGGACAGCTCATTGCGTACAGTTATGACTATCCCGTTGCATGAGTGAGATAATCAATAAGATGTTGTTGTGCTCGTCAAGCTTGGCAATCGGGTGAGACAGCTGTCGATACACGCCGATGATGTCACCTCATTTAGTGATGAAACATTTGTAACACGATTATCCAACACATCGAGCACATCGATCCGGGCCTCCGGCGAATCGAGTAATTTCCAAACTACGCAGTGCACCGTGCTTATATTGCTTGCACATTGTGGCATGCACTATTACTATTGATGTCGTTTTTACTTCTTTTCGAAGCTAATTTTACGCCCGCTAATCATACGGTTTTTGCCCTTACTAAAAGAGTTCCTTGGATTATTTCCCTGATGAGAAAATTTGTTATGTTCTTGCGTCTGCACGGAACATGTTTGTGGCCTATCCTACGTATAGTCTATGAGAAACTATGATGGTAAGATCCAAGGTACGCGTACGCGCGCGTACCCTGCCTAAGCGGATTTTACGGTCACCCATATTCCCGAATTCGACGTTAGTGCTCCATCTACTCTTCCACTACTCTGTAAATGTGCCAGGGCAAAATACCGTGAGCAGCCCTCCAGAAGCTGGCTATATATATATATATATATATATATATATATATATATATATATGATTTGGCGGCGTCCGTATCCGGATTTGCCTGTCACTGTGACGTCTATGGGGACAGTCACAGGACGCCTGCGCCTACAAAGGGGACCATGGGTGGCTTGCGCTGCACCACCCATAGTTCCACCCACACACCCCATATCCAGTGTAAACCCGAAGGAATAAGACCGGGAGGCATGCGGATGGGAGCCACGTTTCATCAACGGAGCCGGCCCACACTCCTTCAACAAGCAGATCGGAAGCATTCCGGCCTAATTGGGAAACCATACACACCAGACGTACACGAGGCGGTGGCTGGACCGTAGCCCGTTCCACACAGATTGCATGGAACCACTCTTTGAGCCTAGCACCGTCACGAGGACGGTGCACTCCGTCCCCTCCAGCGACGACCAACTGTCTCCTGGAGCCAGTATGGACGAGGTAGTGGGTAATAGACAGGTAGGCACCTTGTCAACATTCACATCAGGCGCATCCGCACAGGGGAACTCAAGCAACATCTACTTCTGAAATGCAAGATTACTCATCACGCAGGCAAATGTACCACATACGCCACCTTATTGGCCTGGATTAGGAAATTGAATGGGAACATACTCATGGTGCTTCTATTCTCCGCATACAATTGTGCCTTCTCCGGCACCTGAGAAACCGCCCTTTTGAGCAGTTCACGGAATTCGCATCGATCAAATTTGCCTTGGATTCGCAACACCTGAAATCAACATGAGTTTGTCATAAACTCACCTTCCTCATGTTCTGGTAATATT